GGGGGGAACAAACAAAAACAAAACCACCCGCTAAAGCTTCCAATAATACTCCCACCTTCAGATCCTATCCTTGGACCCTGGCCTGGGGAAAGTAGCATCTAGTGTGACAGAGGGAAAATTAAGTCTCCAAATTCCCAGCTCCATCCAGATCCACAGAGGTTAAAAAAGGAATCAAAGTTCATTTCCCAATGAAACGTGAGTTGTGACCGTTTTAAAGTGTCCCTGTAATTTGTCGAATATAGGAAATGCCTCTCGTCGGCTGAACTGTGCTTTAACCTGGTCAACACAAGTACGAGACTTTTATTGAGGGATGCCCAGAGTCCCGTCTCCCCTCCCCAGCAGGCTGCTGCACAGACACAGGACGTCGGGGATGGGTTTTTCCTCGGGACTCCCGCAAACTTCACCGGCCCTTCACCCATGGGCTATTTCTATAAACCCCGTTTAAAAACTGCTTTCCCTCAGCACGGAGCGAATGAAAACCACCGAGCGTTTCCAGCCAGATGAAGGGAAAAAATTTCTGCCCGCCGCACAAGCCCGTTGCCCAGACTAGCGCAGTCTAAGCATGTTTATGTTCCCACTGTATTACAATTGTGCCCAGCCCGGCTGCGAAACATCTGATTACTGCCCCTGTAATCTGTTGACACTATCACCCAGATAAACAAGCTGCCATCGATCTTTTCATTAGGTGATCAACAAACAAAGCAGGTGAAAGAGAAGAACGTTGGAATGCTTGCACGTCCCTAGCCCGGCGCCCTGAGGCTGCGGCTGGCCCTGGGACCCAGGTCGGTGCCTGCCGTACCTGCGTGGGTCACCTCTGTGGGACACGCGCGTTATATGGGGAGGGGAGCCGTGGAAATTCCCACACATGTTTCTATAGGGGGAAAGGGGAACGGAAGGGAGAAGGGAGAAAAAATCTCGGACAGAATGAAGATAGGCGCCTTTCACTCCTCCCAAATGCCGGGATGCCCAAATGACGCCAGGGGAGGAGGTGGCTCGGGCGGGGGCAGGATTGGGGAAGGTCTCCCTGCCAAGTGTCGCGGCCTCGCTCCCCTCCCTCTGCCCCGAAACCACGAGGAAGAAAGCGGCGACTTGCCTGGGGTGGCCTGGGGAGTCGGGGCCGTCGGCAGGGTGCCCGGTTCGGGAGGAGCTGGGCTGCGGCTGCTGGGTCCGTCCACCTTCTGCTCTGCCTCTTTTACTCCCTGTCTCTTCACAGTCTGGGGAGTAAAATCTTGATGATACACATACGGAGCTTGCTTTTTTGTCCTATTTAATCTTATTCGTTTCACCTTTTCACTGATCAAGAGACAGGACGGAGACTTTATTTGGAAAGAGCGAGAGAGAGGAAAGAAGCCTACTGTTGCATAGTCAATAACATCCTTTTTATCAATGCAATATACAACAGAGACGGCTTGGCCAAGGGGCTCATTGAAAATCTCTTCATTATTTTGGGACAAAATCAAGCGCTTATTCTGATTTTAGAAATGATGAGGAATCTTTTCTTCAGGCGGCTCCTAGCCTCAGACTTCAGAGTTGACAGGGAAAGAAAAAAATATCATGATCTCTATACGTCAGATTTGAGGGTCTTTTTTTTTCTCTTTACTTTTAATTAAAGCAACATCGCTTTCCAAAACTCAATAATAAGAATAAACTTTCTGTCACATATTTAATTCACTTTCTTTCTGCAGGTTTTCCATCCAACATCTAATCTGATTATAAACTTTTATGGGAGATAAGAGAAAGGTATGGTGGAGAGTAGAGGGGCCTGGGGTGTTCGTTTTGGTGGGATTTTTTGTTGCAGGGGGGAGCTGTTCAGTTTTTACAGTCTGTTTCTTTTTTGTCACATGCAGTCTTTCGAGCCCAAGGCAAATTTCAGATCCCTGACGAAAGGGAAGCTGGCGATAAGGCCAGCTTGTGAGAGAGACAGAAATTGAAAAGAAGTGGGTCGTCTCCTCAGTGCAGTTTTCTATTTAAAATAAGAAAGGGGAAATACATTTTTTGGTAAAAATCGGGGGTGGGGTGGAAGACCGCAGAGAGAAGCGGAACCGCCTGCTTCCCGGGCTCCCCCGGGCCGACGGCTCCGTGCCCACTAGATGGCAGCCGGAGCCAGCGATTCCTCCTCGCCGGGACCGAGGCCGCGCCGGGCCGCGGAGGGGAGCGGAGGGGAAGGGGGGACCGACACCCCACCGCTCACCCGCGCATCCCCCCTCTCCTGATCTCCCTAAGCTCACTTAGAGAGATCAGGAGAGCCGGGGGGAGGGGAGCGAGGGGAAGGGCTTTGCGTGCAGGACGGCTGGGGTTATTCTGTCTGCTCACACACCCCCAAAACAAAATTAAAGGGTAGGGGTGAAACCCCCGAGAGAAGCGTGGAGCCCTGCGGGGCTGCGGGTGGACATATTAGGTGAGGAATGAGGGGTGAGGGACGAGGGACAGGCTGCAAAAATAGCACTAAGTAGGATGGGAACATATGGGGATTTGAATATGTGTGTGGACTCGACCGCGTGTATGTGCAAGGGTGTGCATATACGGACGCCTGCTCCTTCGTGCAGCGCGAATGTTTTCTTCTCCATTATTAAAACCCCTGGAGTGGTTTTTGCAACTGGAAATCGGAAGATAAATCCCTATTTCAGATCTGTAGGGAAAAAAAAAATTAAAAAAATAAAAACAAAAAAAAATCAAAACAAACAAACAAAACACCACCCCAACCCACATTAACTTTTCACAGGGAGCCCATATCGTGCCTTTTAATTGCACCTTTCTGCCTGTGCAATGCATCCTCTTCTGGCCATGTGCGTGATGGGGTGGGGGGGGGGTTGGGTAGAGGGGTCACAGGCGACCCGTACTAATCAGGTCTGAAAGTAAATAGCAGCACACGGGGATCTCAGAGTAAATTGTGCTTGTCAGAAGAATCTCCTCTCCCTCTCTCTACCCTTCCTCTCTCCCTCCCTCCCTTTTCCCTTCCCTTCCCCATCCCATTCAGTAGGTAGTGGATAATTTTTAAATTTAAATTTTAAAAATAAAGGGGAAGAAAAAGAAAGAAAGAAAGAAAGAAAGAAAGAAAGAAAGAAAGAAAGAAAGAAAGAAAGAAAGAAAGAAAGAAAGAAAGAAAGAAAGAAAGAAAGAAGCGCGGGAGGGGTGTTGGGGGGGTAACCAATGGAGTGAAAGAGGCTTGGCTAACCTTAGCCTCTCATTTTCTCTCCCCCCAGTTCAGGGCTCTGACCAGTCAGTCGCCTTTGATTATCAGTTGCCAGCAGCCCTTCTCTTGGCTCCTTGACACGAGCTCCATATAAGGCAGCGATCTCCATAGAAACGTGTCAGTTTCAATAGTAGTGTCAAAGTTCACTATATACAGACATTCGCGCAGATCCCCCTTTCGGAAACATTGCTTTGCTAGGCTTCCCGTTTAAACGCATTCATTTTTTGGGTCTCTCTCTCTCTCCTTCTCTCTCCCTCTCTCCCCCTCTCTCCCTCTCTCCCCCCCTTCCCTTTCTTGCATATTCTATTAGTTGTGTGCCCCCCCTTCATCTCCCTCTTCTCCTTCCTTTTCTTCTTTTTTTCCACCCTTCCTCCTTGTGTCTTTCGCTTCATTCCTGCAGGAGAAGAGGAGAGAGGTGAAACTGGAAAAAAAAAAAAACCAAACTCGGGAAAAAAGAAAGAAAAAAGGGGGAAAAGAGAGAGAGAGAGAAAACAGGGGGGAGGGGGAAAGTCCGGAGAGAGAGAGAACGCGTTCGCATCTCAATACCGTTATTATTTTGACAATTCTTGCCTATTTTTTTTTTTTGGGGGGGGGGAGGGCTTATTTTCTGGGTGATGAGTTTTTACACGAAATACTTTTTTTAGGCAACTAAAAAAAAAAAATCTTTTTGGGGCGATTTCCACCGATTTTCTTCTTTCTTTTTCCTCGCAACTAGTATCGTGCGCTCTCACAGAAGAAGAACACCGAAAAGGCAAGAAAGAGAAGAAGAAGAGGATTTATTTACCGACCTACTTTGGATCTCTCTTTTTCTGCAAGTGTCATTATTATTCCCGTTCTCTATTTTTACACTTCGCCGTGAATTCGTCTCCTCTGCGAATTTAGTCACATCCGATTTTTTTCTGCGATTTAAAAAAAAAAAAAAAAAAAAAAAAAAAAAAAAAAAGGCGAGAGAGAGCGCGAGCGAGCGAGAGAGACAGAGAGCGAGAGAGAGCAGCTCGGGAGAGAAAGAGCAGCGACCGGCAACCTCCTCCTCCTCCTTCCCCGCCGCCGCGACAGGAGATCAAACTGCCTCAGCTCCCCGCCCGCCTCCGCCGCGCTCCCCGGCTCCACCGCCCTGAATGGCTGACGGCGCCCTGCCCTGGACCTGGCCCCCGGACACCTCCATACTCTGATCGCGGGCGAGCGGCTCGTCTCTCGACCTCCCGCCTCTCCGAGAGCCCACACCGGCACCGGCGGCGGCGACAGCGGTGGCGACAGCAGCCTCCGCGGGAGCGGCGGCGGCCGAGCCCCGGCGGCGGCGAGCGGAGAGCGGCGACCTCCTCCTCCTCCTCTTCCTTCCCCTCCTCCTCCTCCACCTCCTCCTCCTTTTCCTCCTCCTCCTCCTCGGCGGCGCAGCGGCTTCCTCTATGCCTGCACATCCTCCGCGGGGCGGGCGAGGAGAGGCAGTGAGAGCGGGGGAGAGCGGGAGAAGAGGGGAGAAACGGTCAGACGGGGGTATTTTAAAGAGGGGGGAGCGCTGGAAAGGGCAGGGAAGGAAAGGAAAGGAAAAGGAAGGGAGGAAAAGGAAAGGGAAGGGGGGGGGAAAAGAGAGAGGGAGAAAATCCTCCGTCGCCCTTCCCCTCCTCCTCCTCCACCTCCTCCTCCTTTTCCTCCTCCTCCTCCTCGGCGGCGCAGCGGCTTCCTCTATGCCTGCACATCCTCCGCGCTCGTAGCGCCCGGACCGCGTGTGCCTGTGCCCGTGCGTGTGTGCGTGTGCGCGAGTGGGGAGCCGTGTGCCGGGCGTTCGCGCGCGTGTCTGCCTGCGTGTGCGTGTCCGGCGTGTTACTCTCCTGAATGCCTCTCCCGACAGCCTTGTTTGCCTTCCCCTCCCCCTCTCTGAAAAAAAAAAAAAATAGAAAGAGCGCGAGCGAGAGGAGGGGGGCTCGCGGCGGCGAAAAATAAATAAAATAAAGAAAACGGCAGGAGCGGCTCCAGCCGGCAGCAGCGGCGGCGGCAGCAGGGCAGCGGCGGCGGCAGCCGAGGCGGAGGCAGGCGGCAGCAAGGGTCCCCTCGCACTCCGCTCGCCCCCGGCGCCCGGGCGGCCGCCACCCCCCCGGCCCCCGCCTCACTCCCCGGCAGCCCGCAGCGAGACGCGCCGCTCCCCAGCACTTTTTTGGGCCCGAGATATGGCAATGGTAGTCAGCAGCTGGCGAGATCCGCAGGAAGACGTGGCCGGGGGCACTCCGAGCGGCCCCAACCCCGCCGCGACGCAGCCGGCCCGGGAGCAGCAGCCCCAGCAGCAGGGGAGCTCGGCCACCCCACACACCCCGCAGACCCCTAGCCAGCCGGGACCCCCCTCCACGCCGGGAGCGGCCGGAGACAAGGGAGCGGGCCAGCAGGGCTCGGGGCAGAGCCAGCAGCACATCGAATGTGTGGTGTGCGGAGACAAGTCCAGCGGCAAGCACTACGGCCAGTTCACCTGCGAGGGCTGCAAAAGTTTCTTCAAGAGGAGCGTCCGCAGGAACTTAACTTACACATGCCGCGCCAACAGGAACTGTCCCATCGACCAGCACCATCGCAACCAGTGCCAGTACTGCCGCCTCAAGAAGTGCCTCAAAGTGGGCATGAGGCGGGAAGGTGAATATTTCTTCCCTACTATGCTATCGCTCCCCTGTCCCCTTGGCTGTGCAGGCGTGCGTGTGCGAGGGCTCTCCGTCTGTCTGTGTCTGCCTGTCCGTACGCGCACACACGCGCACCTATATACATATACATATATATATATACACACACACGCATACGTGCGGCGTGCAAACACACACATATAAATATAAATATGTAAAAATAAATGCACACACATATATATGTATATATATATTTTATATATATTTTATATATATATATATATATATATTTACGGCTCTCCGTAGCAATCCATCCAGGACTCTCTATATATTTCCATGCACATGTCAATCTCTTCCACTGCCTGCACTCCATCTGGCAGCTTTGCACCAGGTTCTGTTGTTATTGTCGATGGTGGTTGGTGGTGTTTTCTTTTGCTTTTCGGTTTGTGCCTCCTGCCCTCCCTCCCGCTTCTCCCCACCCCCTTCTCCGACACTGCCACACTCTCCTCTTTCCTGATAATTGTGCAGAGAATTTATTATTATTATTATTATTATTATTATTATTATTATTATTATTATTATTATTACTGCTACTACTACTATTATTACAATCGCTTGCTAAATATTTATCATTTAGCTGATATCCCCACTTCCCCCTGCGCGCGCGTGTATGCGTGTGTGCGTGTGCGTGTTTTAGATGTGGTTTTGTCTATTGTTGGCATGCGACCGGAGGGTGGGGGGAGATACATCTTTCTCCCGTACGAGATGTGACTCCATTCAGCTTCCTTCCCCCTCACCTCCTCCCCACCCCCTTTCCACCCCATCATTTCTTTTTAAACCTGCAATACCTCTCGGTAGAGCCATCTCTCAGGCTCATTTTTCCCGAAAGAAAGATGAAAGACGTGTAATTAGAGAAAGAGGAAAGGGTGTGAAAAAGATGGAAGGGAGAAAAGGGGGAAAAAATAAAAGGGGAGGAAATGTGCTACTCTATCTTCGCTTCCCTGCGTTTCCCGGTGCCCCGGAGTGCGCTTCTGTGAGAGATTTGGCCTTGTTTTCATTCCATGCGTTCAAAGGAAAGTTTGTGACTCAACCGTGTTTCTGTACTTCTGTCATTTCTTTCTTCTTTTCTTTTTTCTTTTCTTTTTTTTTAATGCCCTGCTCATTTTATTTCTTCGTCAAACTCCACCCTCTCCTTAAAGACTTCTTACTAATCTCGATTTATAACCTCTTTACCGGTTCTTCTCATTTTAGCAGCATCCGCAGCCTGCATCTGGCACGGGGTCCCCACTATTTCCAACTGCTCTGCTGTTTTGATCTTTTTTTTCCTCCTCCTTTCCAAAAGTTGTCTATGGTTTTCCTTGCGTTCAGACTCATTCTCGCGTAGGGGGATTTCCTGCCCTCTTTTCTCCTTGAAACACGTTCTCTCAGTTTAAAGTTTGCTGTGCTTGTCGTTAAAGGTGTTCTAAAGACGTCACATCAGCTAAATAGTTGGTTCAGCAGGGATTTTAAAATTGTATTTTATATGCCACAAGAAAAGGAATTGAATTAGGCTGCTCAGATCTGAAAGAGCTCACAAATATGATGGCTTCATTGGTAGCTGCAGGTGCTGTTGGTAGGCACCTGGGAGAGTGCAGGCAAGCAAATTTGTTTTAAAAAAGGAAGGAGGAGAAAAAATAAACCAAAAAGTGAGAATTGTGCATGCAGTTAAATGAAAAATATCTGCCAAGTTTGCAAGTAGATTGAAGAGGGAGAGCTAGGCTGGAGGGCAGCAGGACAGAGGTCTGGCCCGGGTGGCAAGGAGGGCTCGTTGAGGAAGAAAAGAGAAAGTTGAGAAAAATGTGGCATGCCGGAAACATGAGTGATTGCATGTGCGGGTGTGTGCCAGCAAGTGTGTGCGGTTGTGAGGGGTGTCTGTGTGTGCAGGGTACAAGCCTGAGTAGCCGTATCTTCCCCTGAAGTTATATTTGTTCATTTGTTTACATGGCAAGCGGCTGCAAACCCTGGCACTGATGAAGTAAAACACATGCACAACACTAAAAAAAAAAAAAAAGAAAAAAAAGGAAAAAAAAAAGAAAAAAAGAACAACAAAAAACCCCCAACTTTGGTCAGCTTTCGGGACTAGAGGCATGCTTACGCTCTGTGTGGAGATGGTTAATGAATCCAGTGTTTTTGCAGTTGCAAGCTTGTGCATTCACTGTGCAACGCTGACTGCAGGCTTTTGCAGTGGCAACAGCTCACCAAAGATATTAATTACACCGTCCCCTTTTTTTTCTACGAATGTTTGGCTATTGTAAGTTCGGACATTTTTATTTTATTTCCCCCTTTCCCTTGATAATATTTAACCTTTCTATTCCTTTTAGCAGGGAAAACTTTGCTGGGCGGGGGAGGGGGGGACTCGATGGAAAGCTGGTTCTGTGTAATAAAGTTAGCAGTGGGGAGCTGGAACGCTGCGACCTGTTCCAGCTTGAAGGGTAACGACGAGGTATTTTTGAAGAATATGGACGCATTTTGTTTTATTTTATTTAATTTGGAATTATTTTATTTAATATTTTATTCTAAAAAGCTATGCATCAATTTCCTTGTGAATTTCAGTAGTATCAGGGCAATAGGTTGGGATTCACAACAGAACTTGGCTATATTTTTTACAGTTGGCTGTGATTTTTAATTCTACTTTCTCACCACCCGGAGGACTTATTTGATTTTTTTTTTTTCTTTTTTTCTTTTTTTTTTTTTTTTTTTTCCCCCGTGCCGGGCTTTCTTTTGTTACGAGAGGGGAGGGGGGAAGAGGGGGTTGTGTGCGGATTTGTCTTGTTTGCCTTGGCTTTTTTTTTTTTTTTTCCTTTCTTTTTAATCTGTTTATTTTGTGAAGCCTGTCTGCATTGTGGCCGGGGGTGGGGGAGTGGAACGCGCTTGGCTGCCGCTGGGCTGAGGCTGCCGGAGCAGGGGTCGGGGCCGGGGCCGGGGCCGGGCGGGGGGCTCAGTGCAGGTCGGCAGCAGCTGCCCGACTCCGCATGCCTCTGTCTGTCCGTGCCTGTGCGTGTGCCGGGGGCGAGGCGGTGGCGGGGAGGGGAAGAAGCCCGGCATTGTCTCCGGCTGGTTGGCAGCGCCGCCGGGGCGATGCCTGCGAGCCTCCTGGATGCACATTTCCTCTCCTTCTCTCCTTCTTTTTGTCAGCGGTTCAGCGAGGAAGAATGCCGCCCACCCAACCCAACCCCGGCCAGTACGCGCTGACCAACGGCGACCCTCTGAACGGGCACTGCTATCTCTCGGGATACATCTCCCTCCTGCTGCGGGCCGAGCCCTACCCCACCTCCCGCTACGGCAGCCAGTGCATGCAGCCCAACAACATCATGGGCATCGAGAACATCTGCGAGCTGGCCGCCCGTCTGCTCTTCAGCGCCGTCGAGTGGGCCCGCAATATTCCCTTCTTCCCCGACCTGCAGATCACCGACCAGGTGGCCTTGCTGCGGCTCACCTGGAGCGAGCTCTTCGTCCTCAATGCTGCCCAGTGCTCCATGCCCCTCCATGTGGCCCCGCTCCTGGCCGCCGCCGGCCTCCACGCCTCCCCTATGTCGGCAGACCGCGTTGTCGCCTTCATGGACCACATCCGCATCTTCCAGGAACAGGTGGAGAAGCTGAAGGCTCTGCACGTCGATTCGGCTGAATACAGCTGCCTGAAAGCCATCGTCCTCTTCACCTCAGGTGAGGGGACGGGTTGGGGATGTGAGATGCTGGGGGAAAAAAGCAAAAAAAACCCCAAACCACATCCAGGAAAATAAGGGGGAAAAATTAAATTGAATTATTTTTAAAGGAAAGGGACTGGAGGTCGAGGAAGCATAGCACCTGATGGGGATACACTCCGGTCCAGGGATCACCCTCATTCCCAGTGATACTGGCTCTTTAACACGCAGCCCCTCCAAAAAAATAACACTGAAAACCAAAATCAAATTAAGTGTAGGCGGTGGAAACATGCATGTTAACAATTTTTCCCTGTGATAGATGGTTTGAATTAACTAGCAGGAAAGTTGCATTAGCATTGCCTTTGAAGTGCTCTGGTCATAGCCTATAAGAATATAATACGTATACTATTATTGTAACCTGCAAGGGAGAATTTATAAACATCAAAGGGGAACTATATGAAGGAAATATAGGAAATGGAAACAAGGCAAGATAAGAGTCTGGGCAGTGTAGTTTTTATAATTATTCTAATTATCATCACAATGTGACTAATTGCCACCTCTCCTACTTGTTTTTCTTATTTTTTTCTTTTTCATTTTTATATCCCCTCTCCCCATCCCCTAGCTCCTGTCTTGTATGAGCCTCTCCCCTCTTTTCCTGATTAACAACAACTAAACAGTTCTGATAAATGTGCCTTAAAACCAGGCCGAGGCAAAATTAAAAGCATTCCTGAACAAAGATGACAAATCATTCAAAGGCCTTGTTTAACACCAAGTAGTTTATAATCCATCAATATTTGCTGCCTTTCAAGCACAAAAGATAGTATTTACATTGTATTAAAATGTCTCCTAAATTTGCACTATATTGTAATGTAGCAAATGTAGTATTAATATCGATTTGAACATCAGATAATTTATTTAGACAGGAGTATCTAATTTGTATGCAGGGTGGTCAGAGACGTGTACTATGACTGCCCCCTTTTACTTCCAGTGCAAATGCAGTCTCGCAGCATTGGAGAGAATATTTCTTTGCAAAGGATAATGTGCAAATCTTAAAACAAATGGAAGATTTACTGAATAGCCAACTCGACATTTTAATGTATTTTATCATAATAAGTCTTCTTGATGGAAACATGTTTTTCAAGAGTGACAAAGAGACCTGCCTGCATTTATCAGGGTGATTTAACTCCGCAGCCTGCCTGCAGACTCCCAGACTTTCCTTTCCCATTCATTTCAGGGAGCTCATCAATACACACAGATAGTCAAGGAGAACAATTTTTTTTTTTTCTCCAGACCCAACTTGGAGAGATTCTTCCCAAGCAGAGCTGGGAAAATGTCTGGCCTGTGCCTCAGCCTTTCCACACGTCAAACGCCCTGTGAAGGAAGTTGCCCCTGATAGGGACATGGCTGAGGCAATATTTTATGTTTTCTTCTTTTTCTTCTCTCCCCGTTCCACCCAATCTTCCCCCTTTACTTCTGAAACAATTGACCTTGGCTAGAAAAAGGGTGAGTGGCTTTAGAGGAGCTCTTCATTTACATATAATAAAACCAAATGTAATAACATTTGTGAGGGGAGAAGCCTCTTCCCACAGTGGAGTGGAGACTGAATGAAGGAAACAATAATATTACTTCAGAGCAGGATCACACAGGGCATCTCAGGAAATGGAAATACTGCTGTCAGGAGTAATCTACTGCTCCTTACCCCATCTGCACATTTCCACTTTTCACTAAAATTGTTTCCATTGCATATTCAGAGGGGAAATAATGAGAAGCCTTTCTCAAAGTCATCCAACTTTTAAACAAACTTTAAGTGACAGAAAAGACATTTTTAGGCATATAGTCCAAAGTCCTTCACTAAGGACTAAGCATCTAAAACTGGCATGGATTTTTCCTGTTGTGGTTTCTACATTTGGGCACCAGAGAGCATGTATTTATTCTGTACAATTCTGGACACCATCCAAAAGCTGTGTAGTAACCCAAAACCAGCTCCTTTCTTTCCTGCTTTACCCTTCTCTTGCATACCCTCCTCCTTGCCCTCATCTTCTTCTCCCCGCTGCCAAACTTTAGCATTATTAATTCCTGCATCTACCTTTTCATCGTCATAAATATTGTTTCCGGGAACAGACAGAGACAGATAACATAAATCAAATAAATCTATTTGCAGCACAGTAAGAACTTTTGATTTCTAGTTAGATGCCAGCTGATTATGTCTATATTTTCTGAACACTAAACTCTTCTGAACATGTAACATGAAATACATTGCCGCCACTACAAAGGGGAAGGCTGGAGTGTGTTGAACAGTAATGGTTATTTATTTACATAATTTCTTTTCCATAGACTGCAAGAAGAAATACAGCGCTTTCCCTTATTGACACACTGCCATATAAAAAAGCAAGGCACATACAGGATTTTCACATTAGCCCACTTTCTGAGATGGAATAATAATTTACCTTCAGTAAACATGGGTTGCATTATTTCTCCCATAGATTGCTCCTCTCTGGGCTGCATAATCTAATTGTGTATCCCTTGAGTTGTGTATCCCTTAATTATTATTATTTTTAATCTCATTCTGAAGGGAGAATTGAGCCTAGCCACCCCCACTTTCTGCTGTGAAATAAAACCCAAGTGAAGGCATATGCCAGAACATTTAAAATAATTTTAGCCAAACAGATACTATATTGGCATGAGAAAATTCTGAGGTTTTGGAGGTCTAAGGCAAAACCCGTGGCAATTTTTCAAGCACCCACACACATCAGGCTGATGCCCTTTTAGAGAGCAAGTTCCCCATCCACATTGTCCAGTGACCTGCACTTATAGGTGCACTTATTGTAAATGTCTGATAAATATTTTACTAACCTTAAGGGTATGACATATGGGGCATAAGGAAAAAAGCTCTGCCAGGGTGTCAGTAAGACCCTTTCATATTGCATTGTTTGGAAGTTGAATAGGATCTAATGCATAATGGGCAGATAATGCATGTAAAATAGCAAGATATATGTAAATATGGAATCTGATTTGTGGCAATCAACATATGAACAGGTCTGTGGTTTTTGATATGTATTGCAAACAAGAACAGGCTCCAGCTTTTGATAGATATATATGTTGCAACCTGGTGCTTTAGATGTTGCAAAATATCATTGCATTAAAGGTAGAGTATGGATTAGCAGAGCAGCCTGGCTCAGATAATTGTGTGTCTGAGGGATGCTGAGTCCACAGATCAGGTCAAAGGTTCTCCTTCTCAGAAGTTCCTAAATTGTGGCTTGTTTTATTTGTATTTTTGCTTGAGGTCATAGTATTGTAGATGAAGGTGTTAAAAAATCTTTGTAAAGTCAGTTCTTGGTAAGGGAAGACTTAAGCTTCAAAAATGCCTGTGCAACAGATTTTATTTTATTTTATTTTTAGCTTTGAATAATTTGTTGATTTGTTGTGTCTTTCCAGGTTCACAACACTACATTCACATTTTTATAATGTCTTTTGGGGGGCTATTAACTAATTCATATATGGATCTATATATTAGTAAAGTCTGGTTTTGATCTGTTAGCCGGCACTGCTAGCTGACCACCTTGCTCTGATCTAGAATGGCTGGAGGATTTTTTAGCTTTGTTGGTTGTTGGGTTTTTTTGGGTTGGTTTTTTTTTGTTTGTTTGTTTGTTTGTTTGTTTTGGGGTTTTTGTTAGGTTTTTTGGTTATTGTTTTAGGTTGGTATTTTTAATATCTATTCTGAATCTTTGAAACAATGTGGATGGTTTCAACCATCTGGTCATACCCACCACTTTTCCATGACTGTAGTTTCCTGAGCAAGTCCTTCCACAAGCAGCTGGTGCATAATTGTCCTCTGGTTTAGGTTATGTGTTCTCTGAGATAGGATACGCGCTTGTGTCTCTGGGTGTGTGCAAATGTACAGATGCATCTATATCTCTCTGCTAGTATCTATATACACAGAATAACATGTATAGATAAAATACATGGGTGTAAAGGGCTTCTGCTCTCGGATTAGTGCACATTTGCCCAGGTCATGTAGTTATGCAAGGTGCAAAGTGTGTGTTTCTGACACTTCGGATGTCAGAAGGACCTATAAGGAAGGAGTCTCTCTGGTTTCATTTAGGCATGGCTTAGCTGCTGCAGCTTTTCCCTGCTTTGTGTCTGAGAGCTACAGATGCCTGCTGAGCACAAGCTGGGACTAACCTAGCCCTTTGCTACCGGATTTATCATACAGCCCACAAAGATGTTGCAAATTTGCGATCACTGGCAGTGAGGCAGGAGCAGAGGAGACTCCCCTGCTCCACGGCATCCCCCAGCCAGCTCCCTGCCAGTCGCTGCAGGACCCAGTCACTGCCTCTCTGTGATGTGCAGCCATGTAAACAAACTCCTTGTGTCTCACTCTGCTTGTGTGCAACTCTGCTGATTATTATTATTGTTGTTATTTATTATTATTATCATTATTATTATTATTTTCCCCAATACCTTATTTTTCTTCCTCTTGGCATTATTTAAGGGGGCTGGTCCAGGTTTCCAGCATCCCGGTGATGGGCTCCCTGGAGCAGAAACCACGCTCGACAGCGCAGAGTGTCGGTGGGGGGGATGTGAAAAGGAAGTGTGGGGGTTTGTGTGTATGTGTGTGTAATTGGGACGAGCGGGGTCTTGCCACCCCATCGCATCCTAGGTGAAAATACCCATGGTGGCAACGAGGCACAGTGAGGTTGCATTATTTATTTGGCAGTGGTGCGCGGGATGGGATAGGATGGGGTGGCATGGGGTGGGATGGGATGGAATGGGATGGGATAGGATGGGAAGGGTTGGGATGGGATGAGACGGGATGAGATGGGATGGGATGCTGGGTGCTCCTTTGGGCTGCCCACCATCCCCGCGGAGTTTCCCTGTGTGGTTCCCAGCCACTAACCATCTTCCCCCCCCCATTCTGAAGGGAGAATT